AGTGATAGGTACATAAGAAATAAATAATTAAAGAAAAAATTATATAAGCAAGTAATAGCGCGACGGTTAGAGCTAACTAAAATACCAAATGTTTGATGCTTACCCAGAATATATAGAAGAATTTAGTATAGAGATAGCTGATTTCAATCCAATTGGTCCTACTGCCCATATATCTTTACCTGAAACTATGCCAAAACGTAATAACGGGATTATTAATATTCAAAATAATGATGACTGGTGTTTCGGATGGTGTGTCCTAGGAGCTTTGCATCCAGTTAAAGTTCATCCAGAAAGAAATCCGCATCGGCTATATGGAGATTTCGTGGAGAAACTTAATATGGATGACATCCCAATTCCAGTACCGGTCTCAACACCAGTTTATAAAAAGTTCGAAGAAAATAACCCAGAAATCAGTCTATGTGTCTATGAATGGCACAACCAAAACAAATGTCTTGACTTTCGCTATGTTTCAGAAAGAAGAGGGGAAGAATATAAGCAAGTAAATCTTCTAGTAATTACGGAAGAAGAAAGAAGTCACTACTGTATTATCAAAGATTTACATAAGCTGGTATACAATCATAGCAAGCATAAAGGACAAAAATATCTATGCCGATATTGCCTTCATGTATATTCAGCGGAGAAAGGGTATAAGGAACATTTGCCGAAATGCAAGAGTTTGAATAATGCTCCTCAACGGCCACAAATGCCAGTAAAAAATAGGAGTATCAAAGCTTTCTATAATCATAAATGCATGCAACCAAATCCATATCGCATTTTCTGGAATCTAGAAATTTTAACCGAAAAGTTAACTCCAGAAGAGAAAACGAAGTTAATCCATACTGAAAGATTGCAGATGCACAAGCCGTGTGGCTATTGTTATGTAGTTGTTCGTATGGATAGTTCACTTAACTATGAGATTATGAGTTATGATCTATACAGAGGCCCAGATGCGCTTGAAAGATTCGTTACAAAAATCGAGAAGGAGCAGGCAAACATACAGGAGGACTTATCCGCGCCAGCTGAAATGATTTTAGCGTCGGGTGACCTAAAGTCATACAATGAGGCGACAGAATGCTGGATTTGTAAGAAACCTTTTATCAAGCCATCACAAGAAGCATTGCAAAAATTCGAAGAAGCAAAGCACAGATTATTAGAAGTCAAGGAATGGGAAGCAAGCATAGGGGAAGATCATCCAGAAAAGAAAAAGATACAGAAAGAATACAGAGAAGCTTTAAGTGCTCTTAATCGAAAAGTAAAAGATCATGACCATATAAATGGAAAGTATCGAGGTCCAGCTCATGATACTTGTAATAAAAAGTTGCGGATAGGCTCTTTCGAAACCAAAGTGCCCCTTATCTGTCATAATTTCCGGGGGTATGACTCTCATTCGCTTATGAAAGTTGTGAGCAAGTTCACAGTTGATAAGCTAAATTGCATCCCAGAGAATATAGGAAAGTACAAAGCTATGGATGTTGACCAACTCCGATTCTTAGATAGCTTTTAGCATATGGGGATGGGGCTTGATAAATTAGTTGAATGTTTAGGTGGAAAGCTCGAAAAATTCCCCCTAACTGTTAAGTACTTTACGGAGAAAAGCTACTCAATATGGGAATTTGGACCATTCTCATCATCTGCATGATGCTCCATATGAATAATCCCATCTTCTTGAGTAGAGGAGGAAGTATCATGTGAAGATTCCTGATTATTTTCTGAAATCTGGTCAGAGATGCTAACAGATTCTAAGATTCTACGCCATTCCTCAGTAGGTTCAGGAGGCCTCTGATTATCAATTATTTTTTGATATGTTGTTGATCCTATACGATATTTTTTACACATAATACGCCGAGCATCTGGAATATTATTCCGAGCATTTCTAATTTCTTCGATAGCTTCGGGTGTCAAGCGTCTGGCATCTGTTCTAAGAAATTTACGAGTATGGGTTGTTTGTTTTTTGCTCATAGTTTGCTAGTAATAAATCTGTATGATACTAATAAAAAACTTGTAGAAAATTTATTCGCAATTTATTTGATATTGGTCTGGCATTGGTCTAGCATTGGTCTAGCATTGGTTTGTTACATATATGTAGTTCGCTTTCTTTACAGTGTAGCATGCTATAATCATGATTCAAATAAAAAATAGGTTTATGATACATATGCTTCAAATATTATATTTGTTTGAAACTAGTTCGTTATTGGTTTTTTATTAGTTTGATATTAGTTTGATTCTAAACTCCCTTTTCCATATTTGAAGAAAAAAAAATATACATATGTTATTTTACACTAACAACTTTACCAAAAATTTGTAAGAACATGTCTTGGAAAAAACTTTGCCTTCAAATAAATTCATATGGCAAATATACATACGCTAAATGAAATAAATAATGGGGCACCCTTGGTATCTGGCAATAAACTTGGAGATTCGCCATCTAATCGATATCCATCTAGCCGAACTGAGCTTGAGAACCAACTTGCTTGTTTAAAACATGATCTAGATATTGCTTTAATTCAGCTTGGCACTAGAAACACTCTCCTGATAAAAAATAATGAGAGTTTTTCAGAGCGCGTATGCCAGCTTGAAGATGAGGTGAGAGAACTCAAAAATCAGATCATCCATAAAGATATTTCTTTCTCAAAAGCTGAGAACGAGATCTCTACAAATTGGAAGAGATACAAGCTCTCCAATCGGAAATAAAAGAGTTGGAAATGAAGTATTTTTTAGCCCAGAAAGACTTATCAGAAATGGATTCCCTTAGACGAGAGTTGGCGCAGTCAAGGCAAAACGTTGAGCTAAAGAATGTTGACTTAGATCTGAAGGAAGATGAATTAAGCGAAAAAAAGGGTGAATTAATGCGGTTGAGGGATGAATTAACCTCAACGCGAATAAAATTGATGGATAAAATAGAAGAATTAATGCAGATGAGAGATAATTTGTCCTCAGTACAAAGACATTATCAGAGAAAGAGATCCTCCATCAAGAAGCTAATAATCATTTAGCCGAGCAGATCCCAAAAACATCTACCGAGTCTGAAGTGCTTGGAGGTGTTAGCGGACTGGAGAAAGATAACGGGATCACTAGTCCTGAAACAACCCCGAAAGTACCTAATTCCTTATTTTTTCAGCATGCAATCATCTTCGCAATAGTATTACTAATCATATACTTCCTATGGCGCATATTCTCTTATCTATATTCTTTTATTTCACCTATCAATGAAGAAAAAAATCTTCCGAATTATAAAATACCCATAAATAGAAATTATAGTTATGGATTCCCAATTCACAATGCAGAAGAACCAAAAAACAGGACTACCTCCTATGAAACTTCGTCTTTTGGATATGGATGAAGTCACAAAGCATGAATATTGGTCATCCCGAGTTCAGCTATCTTTCAAAGGTTTGTCCCATCTAAATCTAATTGATAAGGGGTCATCAGATGGTCTTCGGATATCAATAACCACAAAGTGTTTTTTTATTACCTCATAAATTTTTTTTGCTAGAGACTCATAATCATCATGTATATCTTTAAGAATTCGCTTTATACTATCTAATGTTCCACATCCACGATGCAATGAAATATATTTAAGATTTGCGCGTATATTTGGATGGATTTCATAAAAACGTTGGGCTATATAAATTGAGCTAATTCCATCATGTCTGCCTGATCTAAAGAAAGGAAGAATTTTTAGCTGAGTTGCCAAAGGTTCCCCGGCAAGATCATCAAAGACTATAACAGTAAATCGGCCAGTTCTTTTGAAAGACGAAATATCAGGTAGTTCTTCAGGTGCGATTAGCTTGAATCTCACATTTTCATACCATGGAGCTTGCTTATCCTTGGCTATAAATTCATAAAAACATTGTACTGCTTCCCATAAATCTTCATCTTGGTGTTGCGCGACAACAATTAGATCATCACACGGAATATACCTTTCACCAAAATTTTTGCTCCCACCTTTTGGTATTTTATGACCACGCTTTTCACCAGACATCCATGGATAGATTTTTGGATATTTACTTCCTAGAAGCAGATGTACTACCATGCTCGTCTTTCCAGACTCAGCGGTGCCCGCAACTCCTAGTCTAAATGGGTGTTTAGGAGCGAATGGATTCTGTTTTTTCAAAGGTATAGTTTCATTTAATTTGCATAGTTCGTAATACTCCATAGTATTTTGAAAAGTAGGATAATTATTCAAGGAACATATTTTGTTAACCACAATGCCAAAAAAAATTCTTTTTGAGTTATGCAATAATAGCAGAAGCGCAAGGAAAAAAGCGCCTCAGCTAATGAGTAGAATTTACTTCATAGATACTAACTTTTTTTCGTAATTATAAAAAATTGGAATGGGAGAACCGGTTATTTATATCGATCCTCAGAAAGCGCAAGACTTAGATCAGGATCTTGCTTTACAGAAACTTTATTACAGACCTGAGGGATATTATCGGACTATTGAAAAAAATGCAAACTGCTTGTAAGAGAGCCAGATATGGATTTACTTTGGCCGTAATAAAAAATTGGCTTAACAAACAGGCCTTATATCAGATTCACAAGCCTCGGCCAAAATTTATTCAGTATGCCTCCTTTAATAATATACAATTTTTAAATGAAGTGCACCAATCTGATACTACCCCCATGCCTCATGATAAAGTAGGTAATCGGATTTACAAGTATAGGGGCGTTATCAAAGATGTTACAACTAGGTATCGACGTAGTTTTGCATTAACTGATAAATTTTCTGCACAAATGGCTAAAGAAATTCAGAAAATTTACAATGATCCTAATGATCCTCTTAACCAGCCTGAAGATTTTATTGTAGATAGAGGTATTGAATATATGGCCGAATGTAAAGATTTATTACTCAGTTATAATGTAAGAATTCAGTATGCTAACTCTAAACGTGGTGTAGCTATTGCTGAACGTGACCATCAAAGAATTTGAAAAACATGCTTATTTTCGGCAAGATGCTGAAGATTTTCATTTGCCTTTGACTGATAGATCCAGAGCATGGGTTAAGGGACTTCGTATAAATGATGATATTTACAATAATACTCCTACTCGGTTAATAGGTATGCCTCCTAACGAGGCTGTAAAAAAGGCATTAAAAGGTAAAAAAATAATAGCTAGACCTTCTGTCAAACATAGGAGATCAGTTGGTTATAATGAACCTCTTTTACCTAGTTATACAGAAGTTCGTCACCTTTTAGAACCTGGCGAATTAGAAGGTGGGAGAAGAAGAGCAACTGATTGCAATTGGTCTCCCGAAGTCTTTACAATTGATTCTTATTTGATAAAAGAAAATCAGCCTATTCACTACAAGCTTTACAAGGATCCTAGACGCTCATTTGTAAGAGAAGAACTCCAAATTGTAAAAGATGCGCAATTGCCCCCTCAATGGATACTCAATAATTAGATTTTAAATATTTAGATAGAAGATACAAAGTTTCCTCTAAAAAAATGAGACGCAAATTGACATTAATTGATGCTCAAAATATTGCTTTAGAAAAAGGTGCACAATGTCTTTCTGAATATTATATCAATAATAAAAGTCCTTTACATTGGAAATGTGCCAAGTTTCACAAATGGAAGTCTGCTTTATGTGATATAAAAAGAGGTAGATGGTGCCCACATTGTGCAAAATGTTTTAAACTTAATATTGGTATTGCTAAAGAAATTGCGTTTAAAAAAGGTGGTATTTGTCTTTCTGAAAAATATATAAATAGCTATACACCACTTTTCTGGCAGTGCGCAAAAAACATGAATGGCAAGCTCCTTTAGAAAGAATAAGAAATCATAATTCTTGGTGTTCTAAATGTATAATAGATACTCGAAGAGTTGGTTTAGATTTAGCTAAAAATATAGCTCGATCTAGGAATGGTGAATGTTTATCGGATAAGTATATTAATAATCATACACAATTACAATGGAGATGTCATCAAGGACATATTTGGCATGCAGTTTTAAATACAATAAAAAATCGAAATTCATGGTGTCCTCAATGTGCAGGATGTTCTAAACTTAATATTAATATTGCTAAAGAAATTGCTCTTAAAAAGGTGGAAAATGTTTATCAGAAAAATATATTGATATAGATTCTTCGCTTTTATGGAAATGTAACGAGGGTCATCAATGGCATACAAATCTTAGATGTGTAAGAAATTTGGATACATGGTGTCCTCACTGTTCAGGTAATGCAAAACTTTCTATTGAGGAAGCTATAAAATTGCGACTAAAAATAAAGGATTATGTCTTTCTGAAACGTATAATGGTGCGCATACAAAATTAAAATGGCAGTGTAAAAACAAGCATGAATGGTATGCAATCCTGGATAAAGTAAAAAATTTAGGTACATGGTGTCCATTTTGTCCATGGAAGAGGCAAGAACTCTGCAAGGAAATAGCAACGAAATTATTAGGCCTACCATCTAATATTCGTAGACCAGATTTCTTAAAAACGCCTGCACGAGATCAGCTAAAAAAAGAACTTTGTGATAAAAATAGGATATTACTTATCGAAATATGGTATTACGAAGACCCTTATATAGTGATCCCTAGAAAACTTAAAGAGCTGGGTCTTATCTCTTAACTGGTATTATTCGATTATATATTTTCCTTAGTATTTTCTAATTTTATTTTTTGTGATCATGTGAAGGATAAGCTAATTTTGTGTAACTTTATCTAACTTAAAAATGATGAAAAATACAATCATTAGATGACTTCTTCAAAAATGATCAAACGAATTCTGTCCCTAGAAAGAAATTTTCAGAGCGCAAAAGAGTCCTTGGAAGAGAAAAGGTAAGTAAATCACCATACAGATGGATTAAGTTCTGTCTAATATTGACACGTATTATAGTTTGCCTATACAGATAGGCTGGAATTTGTCTGTGGAAAAAATTGATACTTTCTTTGAACGCCAAGATACACGCGGATATAAATATGACATCGATTCAAGTGGAAACGTATTTGTAGTTGCAATGGAAAAAGATGAACATGTATTTGCTGTTAAACGGCTTGAAAAATATTTTGAAGTTCCTAACGGAGGTGTCGTAAGAAATCCTCCGATAGATGTTGGGGGTTCTTCAAGTAAGAAAAATTCCTTTAGTCTTGTTATCAGTTTTATAACCTTCTCATGTCCTATAAGCTCACTATAAACCTGGTGGAGGAAATAAGCCGTCAGCACCCGATATTGCAATATTTCCAGGTTTGAGCATTATTCCAAAGCCTCCAACTCCAGCTCCACCTCTACCTTCACAACATAGAATACAATTGAGAGCCCCTCCAAGGCCTTCCCGACATCTTGAGATTCCTCCGGTTAACAAAACGGTTGGTTCTGTACATATCAGATTTTGTTCCTATTTTTTTTCCTTGGTCTTATCATAAATCAATTTTATTGTATAGGGAAGACCCCACGCACGGATAATGTGCGAAATTGCAGTGTCTCAAAAATATGACGGTCGAAAAGGTTGGAATGCAAAGTGTAGTCGTTGGATGCAACAACAATACGTTAGATGCGTATTTGGAATTAAAATTTACAATCCAAGAGCTACACGAAATGCAAACGGACAGTTTGATCGATGTATGATTGTACGTGTTACACAGCCTACTTATTGTTCAATGGTTTCGAAATTTTTAAATTTTTTCTATTTCTGACCTTAGGCCAGACTCTGGACGCGTCAGACAGCACCAACAGCAGGAACGCACATAGCAGTAACAGGACAGCCAGGAGTATATTATGAAGAGGTAAGATTAGCATGCCATTGATGTTCTTGCAATCAATTTAAATGGCAAATATCTAATATATAATTAATATAAATTTTTATAGTGGAATTTCGGTACTCTTGATTATTACAATACAACTAATCCTACCGCTTGCACAGGACCAGGTCTACCTAATTATCAAGTTAATATCCCAACTCAAGACGTATTTTGGAATCCGCCCATCGTCGAAGGAGTTCCTTCCACAGTTGGGTATGTCATCACTGTACCTGGTGGTGTTACTGCTCCTAATTTTGTTATAGATTTGTTCGAAATCCAACAGGTGGTTTTAGAAAATCAGGAGAATTAGAAAATATATAATAAATTATCGACCAAGTTAAGGGGAAATCACTTTAGATAGCATTTTTATATTTTTTGTAAAAACTTTATTATAGTAATCTTTTTGATACACAGAATAATAGCATATAATAAAAATGTGTATCATGCATAATGATTATGTAAAATAATAAAAAAACTAATCGTCCTGCCAGACTCAGTATTACCACCCAAATATATTCTCAAGCATTAGATTTACCTCCTCTCTCCTCCACTTGGTATAGGATTTGTTCGAAAGCATTGCTTAAGTAATCATCTATTTCATCTCTATTATAAACTATAATTTGCTTATTTCTAAGCCAGTCAGTTCGTGAATTCTTTTTTCCCTGTTTTTCATTCCCAGGTTTATCATCTATAAGAAATTTAGTAAGAGAACATAGAGCGAACTTAAATTGTCCACGCTTATCGAATTCCTTTTCAAGTATTTCTCTAAACTGTTTTCTTCGGCTTTCTAACATTTTTCGTATATCGTTTCCATTATCTGGATAGGATTTGGGAACTTTTGCACGATGTACGGCTATAGCTCTTCTTTTAACCGCTGTTCCCAATTCTTCTTGTTCCCTAAATTCTAAATCCTTCTCTGACCTTTCGTCCCCCTTAATTTCTCCTAAGCGCTCAAATTCTTTATTGATCAAATTCTTAGATTTATTACCTTTCCTAAATGATTGTGTTTTAGGTCTAGGACCGCCTTCAGACGCTAACTCTTTTAATGTCGGTAGGCGAACTGCCTCTGGATCATTTAGTTCAAGATCACTTGCCTCATTTGGCTCAACACCCAGATCTAATTCTTTCCAACGTTTTTGCAATCTTGCTCCCCATGTCTTAATTCGCTCTCTGGGTTTACGTGCATTTGGACTGACCCAGTTCTTTGCCTCCTCTTCTGTGATGTAGTCGACACCAAGTACTGGAGCTTCCTTTTCGGGTTCTAGCTCAGGAACTAGAGTTGGGATTACCACATGTGGCTTCTCCTTGTTGCTCATATTTACACTAGAGCTTTCTACCTGTGCTTTGATTTCGGGAGCTTGGATAGCCTGTAGGTTAGCTTTTTGAATAGGCACCTGAATTGGCGTTTGAATAGAAGCTACTTCCTTTTGCTTTTGTAATGGTTTGCATAGATTTTTTCGCTTAAGATGCTCACGAAGTTTTTGGAGTGTTGAGCATTCATGACCACAACGTTTACAGATTGTATTTTTTTTATCACTTCTTGTTTTTCTAACCATGGTGTTAGCTCTAACCGTCGCGCTATTACTTGCTTATATAATTTTTTCTTTAATTATTTATTTCTTATGTACCTATCACT